CTTTACACACAATTACGTGTGCACACCACGCGAGAACCACGAGAAATATTGCGGTCTGGCGGACGTCGTGGCCGGTGTACGGTGCAGCGTGCAGGCAGCATGCAGTTACCGGTACCCGCGGTAATATCGCATCGCAGAACAGCCGGTAGAGAAGAGGATGGCCGAGATTAGTTCCGATTGCCTCTGCAGAGTTATAGAAGGGTTGCCCGCTCCCGGCCAGGCATCGATCCCGGCTACCGGCTTCTGCCCGTTAATGAGTCATGTTTAATTGGCGTGGGAAGCCCACGGCTACGTCCACGTAACGGAATTGAACTGTACCCCGATCCAACAACAGCGGTTCGCGGCGACGTAAATAGTCCCCGCTATCGGCCTAGCCTGCGCCTGCTGGACTGTCCGCACGGGATCGACCTTATACCCGTCCCGACGGACGGCGGATGGCAAATAATGGGACGAAAGAATCCCTAATTAGAAGCAAATCGCGCCGATTAACGGCCGGACTCGAGTACTACTCGTGAGCGAACGCGGCCGGGAAGGCTTTGCTCGTGACGATTGTCTTGTTTAGCGAATGTGTGGACGAGGGATCACCGATTTCGATGATTTTTCTAAATTACCGAACGTGTTTTTCAGATGAGGATAGTTTTGATATTTGTGATATTCCTGTTCTGAATGTGGGGACATATTTCATTCGTAAATGAACATTTTGAACAAGGTTTCAGGTAAGGGTATTTTTCATGTTTTTTTATCGAATTTTGAGTTTCAGTTAGATTACGTTGGGTTTATTTAACTTAAATAGTTCATGCACTGTTATATTAGACGAAATTTAAGATTGAATTCTAACTAAATGTTATGTCATAATGTTTAATAAACTACAAAAGATTGATCTCCACAAAATGTGAATATGAATAAAACAAAAAACAATAAGAACAGCAAAAAATAGACGAAACGACGCCATAGACAATTTTTCCAATAAACTCATTAAATGCCACAAAAAACTGTATTATTTTTTATGTCATCACATCTTAAAAGCTATAAACATTAAAAAATAGTTCCAAGCTTGCAAGAAATATTGCACAACTCCCAATTTTGTCCTCGTAACTATCAGCACCACCGACCTGCGACACCAAAGAACAAACGTATCCGACTCAAACATCGGACGCAAAGAAAAAGTAACGATAAGTCATCGTTCACAACGATGAAAGATAATTCCCGAGATCGAAACAATTCAAACACCCTCGCGGCCGAGACATAACGAGATTCACGAGCCAATGAAATCCCCAAGAATTGCATGTCGGTGGCGTTAGTATCCCGTGCGGGGCCCGAGAACGGGTTTCTTTCAGCGAAGGAGCAACAGTTTTACGGCCGAGGTTGGCGACAACCAGGCATTCAGCGTCAAATCGCGATTTCTCAGGGAGCGATTTAGCGTGTGGCATTCCCGGGGCCGGAAACGCTGTCGCGCGGCAGATGGTACACGACAGGCAGTTTCAAAGGATTACTGTTACGCACGAGCCTCTCTCGGAGCCTTTCAGCTCTCTGTCTCTTTCTCCCTCTTTTCCCTCTCTTATTCTCTTTTACTCTTGAGATCGGCCTGGTCCCGGTTGCGCACCCGGTATGCAAATAAATGGCATCAAGTGGTCCCGTTCGAGAAAAAAACGCGCACAATACGGCGCTGCCAGGCGAACGCGTGCCCCGTGAGCATTGTCTCCAGTCTAATCACGAGCCGCGCATTTTACGAGCCACCGGTCGGAGACGGACGCGGCGGACCGCCGCCGCCGCCGTTCAGGAGAAAGACTACCTTTTGCGAGAGGCGGTTCTCTCGTATTCTACGCGTAGCCGCCGGGACGTAGCAATATGCACCGCGAATACCAACACCAGTCACACCCATCATAGAGCCCGACCCTGTGGGTGGCGCCACGTACTCGCGAATAAGTCCTGCGAGCGGGACGTAAGGACATCGGCTGCGCCTTGGCTACGGCTACGAACATACAAGGTGTCCAATGTAATGTACACTTTAAACTAGAAGACAATTCTAACCATTGTATTCTAAATGTTAAACAAAGTCTGTTACTCTGAAGGAATAAATGATCAAGGTGGAATAATGCACTCGTAGTCCCGTTTTAGAGAAAATTTAACGTCAATTTTTGTCGAGTTCTTCATCTTTTTTTTTTCATTTTGCATAAGCATATTACTAATAAATTTAATATTTCATTCATTATCTAAAGCAATAATCAACTACCAACTTAAATCCACCGCACACCCTAAGAACAGTACGCAGCACTGAATACATAATGCCGAAAAGAGTTCCGCCTATATCAGAAACTAAGACCGATCAGTGATAACGCATGGAAAAATAGCTGGGAATAATGACCTTGACAACATACTTCAAAGCGACCAGGATCAATGAGCAATTCCTTTTTCCAAGTAATTACCAAACGGAGTTCTACCGTAGTCACCGCAGACATCTTGTTCCAACTTGTTCCGGACAGAAGTCGCCGATGGTTGGAAAAAGATTAATGAAATCGCGGGCAAGAAAGTGTCAAGGTATCCACCGGCGGCCGGGTTCATTGGCGCGGCCGCGGCAATCGTTGCGCGATCACGTACCTAAATCGACGCCTAGCCGCGGACTCGCCGCTAATCGTCTTTCCGGGAGTGACGTGCCGACATACCGCGGTTCTTGCTAACAGCCCCGACGGTCCCCTATTAGTATCCCATATATATAAGTATAGGAAGGCTGGGCGCGTCGATAGAAGCTTGTACAGCGCGTCACGATTCGGGTGCCATCACGTACCGCGCGGAATCGAGCGGGTTTCCATTCGCGGCCAATCGACACGCGCTTCCCATCGATTGATACCGATCGCTGGCTGCGATCTAAAGCCGGCGTAAACAAATGGCGACACGTTCTCGCGGGTAAAAAGCGGGGCTACCGTGTGGGGCGGGCTGCGGAAACCGAGATTCGAATTCGATAGCGAACGATTTTGTATCACTGTTGCTGCTTTTGTGAGACTTGATTACGGAAGAGTTTTTTTCTTTTGTGACACTTAGCGTTAGGGTGTATTAATTGTTTACAACTGTTGACTGTTGAAAGAGAATGAATGAAAATATTATACGGTTGAAAGTAATTTGTTAAAGGAAATAGGCACTGAGAAATTCAGATTTATCACAGATATATTTATTCTATCAAAGTATTTATTGCGTTTTAAATCTCTGCAGTTCTCTGTTAAAACAGATTCTAGATTCAATTTAGGTTCAGTAGCTAATTGTACTAATTTTTACTATAATTATTTATAATGTCATAATTGCACGATACATAACTACACTTTTAGTCTTTCCTAAATATTCTCAAATAAATGATAAAAATGCTGTATTGAATTATATTTAAATTAAGTAACATTGAGGCAAGTTCCGCAATGGGAAACCTTGAACACTTCGGTTCACAGAATGATTTTTAAATTTAAGTTTATATTTACTTGAGTTCCGTCATCATTCATCGACTTTTCATATATTTAGAAGTTCAACCTAAAATGATTATAATATCTTCAGTAGCCTAAATAATATCATTTTGTAAATAATACCAGTAATTCGTTTCAAATTCAATTTTGTTTTGAGTACCAGGTACTTGTTTAGAGCAGCAGGTGATTTAATTCAATATTTTCACAATTTAATGATTTTTCCTTTTCAACCTTTCAACGCGTTGACTGTCACGAGAATTTTGAACGTTTTATATAATGTTACTCAATCTTTCGGAGGAAAGATAAATAATTAGCACGAGAAATAATTAGCGGATAGTAATAATTTGGTATCATAATTCTTACGTTATACTACCATCTAGTTACTACATTACTAAACAATTTTATTCAATATTAATGTTCTTATTGTAATTGTTTTCAAGTAATTCGGAAACTCCGATCATTAGTAACCACAACGACAGTCAACATATTCACATACGTTTCGTTTGTTTAAATATTTGAATATAGGATTAGCACAGTCATCGCTGGATTCCTCCCTTGTAACAATTCTCTGACATTCACAACCCGCGACCGCCTACGACCTTCCACGTAAATAGAAATACTGTAGACAAATGGCACAATCGTTTTCGCTCGCATACACGCGGTACCGTCTACATTTTACGTATTACGATTCAGTAAAACGCATCAACATTAACGCTCGAAACGTTTTGCATAATCTGCGCGGTGTGATAAACGACTCGTAATGTGGATATATAATATTATCACTTTTTCGTATAAATGGTAATGGTACGTTCGCGAGAGGACGCTTCGTTGGTTGCAGTTTGATAAAAATGGCGAAGAGTACACGTAACGGTACAGATTGGCGATCCTCTTATCGGGTTTGGATCAAATCATCCTGTAAACCTCAAGGATTTTAGTGTCTACAGCTTGTGAGGCAATCTTCGATTGCACTATAAAGATTTAATATTGTGTTAACTCTCGTGTGACGAGTGCATCAGGATAGAATCATGACATAAGTGGTGTTTCATAAAGACAAAATGATTTTACCCTTTTTATTTTCAATTTCTCATACTGCTCAGTCTTAAGTTCATTGTTATTGTATTTATCATTATTATTGGTTTTCTCTATTTCTCTAATTTCGTGTTTCAAGGTGTTCTCTATTTCCAATTTGTTCTACTTCAAAATATTTCCTATTTCCCATTTGCATTATTTCAAATGTTTCTCTATTTTCATTTATCGTTCTTATAATTTATTAAATGTTTTCAAGAAAAAATTGACAATCCAAGAAAATATCAAAATAAAAAAATTTTCATTTAATGTTCACAATGATATTAAAAAAAATAAAACTGGAACAGATAGAAAGTTTACTACGTACCTCCCTAGACGTTGGTGCCCCCAGGACGCAGGGGCTGTCCGGGCGGCGGGGCGCACTGGCCCACCGCTTGCTCGAGAGCTCGCTTTCATCCTGAAACAATAAACGTGACCTGTAATTAGACAAGACGAAGGTAAAGGTGATAGGCGGTTAGGCTTGATGAGCGCTATTATAGCAATCGTAATGGACCTCTCGGAAACGAAATTGTTCTTCGCAGAAAATTAGCAAGGGAACAATGGGGGGAGGCTAGACTAAATCTTGGCCGGTAGACTAAATCTATACACGTTCTACGATCTACGGTGTCGAGGAGAATGGTGAGCATTGTTCATGACATGTGCTCCGCAGCAATGTTTGAGGATTAGAGATTGATTTTCTGGTTTAGTTTAATTTTAGCAATCTGAAAGGCAAAAAGAAACTACATACGTTTAAAATTTTCTTTCTTCGTGATTTACGAAGCAATAGCAGTAGTTTGATTAAGCATGTTTATTTAAATGTAGATCTTTAGAAATTAGTTTACTGAAAATTGAGTGAAACAGGGACTTATCTTCTTTTTCATCGAGTATTGGATTGTATCTGAACAAGTGGTGTTAAACTTTAAATTTTCAATACCGAATAATTAAATAATCGTATTTCCTAAAAATTCGTAAAATTTATGGCTTAGTAATGACTATGTCGTCAATTGACGAGCACGCAGGATCAGGACTTTGAACGTTAGGCCTTTGAGATTCTTAGAACTATGCGGTAGCTTCTCCCGCTACCTCGCGCCAGGATCCGCCCTGAAACTTTATAATTGGTGTGTGCATGTCTCAGCTTCGATATCTTTGCGTCCGAAGAGACCTCGGAGAAACAATTCTCATTTCGTTTTAACTCAAAAGCAACGATCTACTTCAAAATTAGAAAATATCACCCTTTATTCAATTTTCTGTAGATAAGTTTCTTTAGTTTTGTCAGAATTCCGAAATTGATGCCATCAGGCTTCTCTGATCAGTTAGTTAATATAATACATTTCTATGTTGTTTGAAACAAAAGTGTACAGGCTTCTATAAATAATAAATTACTCAAGGAGCAGAAATATTAACGACAGTAATACAGGAAAGTAATAGAAACAGTGATACCGTGGTATACAATTTTGTATTATTAGTACACGTTAGAGAAATCAGTGTTATGATACCAAAAGTTTTTGAACACTTCGATGGAACAGTCCCTCAACTGGAAACAGTAATAGCCAGACTCCAACACATCCAATCACTCGATTCGAAATACCACGAATTCCAATCTTATCGTCGATTCAAGCAAGAGAAAAAGAAACATGTAAACAAACCACTACATATTATTTAATTATCATCGTAGACTGGGATAGGCGTGAATTATTCGGCTTTCAAGGTATAAGAATGTATGGAACGTTATGATTTACGAGCACTTAGCGATTGACGATCGTCGAACAGTGTTTTTCCATTAAAACAGTATATTCGTGGCGCGTCGCGGCGGGTATATACACCGTTAGACAGATCGATATTCCTTCGCGTATTTATTCGCGTTTACGTTTTTAGGCTCCCGTCGGACGACCCTCGATAAGAATAGCATAAAAAACTTCGACCTATACTCGGTTCCATTTTACGACCACAGTATTTTACGTTCTTTTTTCTTTGACTCTGAGCGTCATCGGGAGCCAGGCCGGGTCGCGCGATGTGCGCGGTCACGTGGACGCATCTCATCGCGAGAAAAACACTGTCAGTCCGACAAATATTTTCCAACAATATTGACGCAAATCAAAGTTGAATAAAAAGTAATCAAATAGCATGTTAATGCATTCACAGATCGACTGTTAAGAAGCTTTTCAATCATTGTCTTAAATCAGAAAGTGATTTAATAATTGTCTTGGAATAATGGTCTTAAAACAGTGATTACATTTTTGAAACCCAAGATGATTTTGTTGTACTAGGACTACAGTTGACATTGCTATTGCGCGATTTATTAAAAAACAGTTAGGCACAAATTACTGGTCTTCAATAAACTGCTGTGTAACTATCGGTAGACAATGAGTTTAGCCTAATGATCAAAATGCAACTTTTATTCAATTGCAAGTTACACTCTGTATTTATCGACTTTGAATAACTGCATATTGTAAATAAATTTTTTTTATTATACATATACTTTATTGTAAAATCACTTTACGTAAATTCTTTGCTTCGTTTCCCAAATGATCTTATCAAACTTTTTCATAGAAAATATATTTTTATTTCAACAATTTTCGAAAGAATAACGTAACGATTCAAATGTGTTCTACTGATTAATTATAATACGAAAGCATACCGGGTTAGGTAAAATCAATTAAGTCATCAGTAGTCAGTTTTCAATGTATAACAATTAAATACATTAATAATCACCTCTACTTCAACTGTAGTAATTGGTAACTGAATGAACTCTTTCGTCTGAATCATCGCCAGCGATATGCAATCAGACTAAAACATTTCGCCCGACTGCGACGCGATTCGATGTCGCTCGGAAACGCATTCTGCGACAGAGGGCGCAATCGGAATTCGGGCGCGTTTCTACGGTCGGCCAGGAAACGCCGGCTCTAATGGATCAATTATGGGAAGTCATTTGGGGCGAAACGAGAGAAAGAGCCGAAGAACAGTACGGTATGCGCGCCGGAATAATTAAGTCCGCATCCCGCCGCAGTGTCAACGTGAACGTGGTAAACGACAGACGTGAAGGAATTGCAGCAAGATGGCGCCGTTTTCACTACACTTTGTGAAATTTCCTTGTATCGATCG